GGAAGGGAGCGGGACATTGCCATCCCCACGGATCAGGGCTGGGAGCAGCACCTGGGCCAGGGGAAGGAAACACTGGGAGCGACTGGGAGTGACTGGGAGTGACTGGGACCACACTGAGAGCAACTGGGAGTGACTGGGACCACACTGAGAGCAACTGGGAGTGACTGGGACCACACTGAGAGCAACTGGGAGAGACTGGGACCGCAGTGAGGGCTACTGGGAGCTACAGAGAATGATGGGTGTGTGCTGGAGGCAACTGGGATATACTGGGATATACTGGGAAAGAATGAGATCATCCTGGGAACAACTGGAACTCTGCTGGGCCTACTGGGGTGACTGGGAATGAGCATGCTGGGGGCAACTGGGACTGTCTAAAATGATACTGGAGGGGACAACACTGGGGGCAACTGGGACCATGCTGGGGGTGACTGGGAGCAACTGGGAGTGACTGTGTCTGCACTGGGGACCGCTGAGATCATAGTGACAGTGACTGGGACTGTACCAGGGGCTACTGGGTGTAACAGGGATCATACTGGGAGGAACTGGGAGCAACTGAAGCCATGCTGGAGGTAACTAGGACCACACTGAGGGTGACTGGGATCCCACTGGGAGTGTGTAGGAGCAAGGTGTGGGAATTTGCACCACATTTGGGGCACCTGGGATATACTGGGATCAACTGGGACCACACTGGCTGTGACTGGAAGTTGCTGTGGGCAACTGGAATCATGCTGAAAGTAACTGGGAAGAAGTGGGAGCCCCTGGGATCATGCTGGGGGTAACTGGGATATACTGGGAGAGTCACAGGGATCATACTTTGAGTAACTAGAACCAGAGCAAGTGAATCCATGCTGGGATCATACTGGGAGTGGCTGGGGTCATACTGGGAATGACTGGGATCATACTGGGAATGACTGGGATTAGAGTAGGTGTAAATGGAAACTTACTGGGGAGTGACTGGAAGCCACTAGGCCTATGCTGGGACCCAGCTAGGGACACACTGGGAGGAACTGGGAGCAACTGGGTTAATGCTGGAAGCAACTCTGAATAGCTGGGAATGCTGGGTGCATGCTGGTGACAACTGGGATGTACTGGGAGTGACTAGGATAATCCTGCTTAGGTAACTGGGAGTGCTGGGAATGACTCCCAGAATGTCCAGGGTAACTGGGATGTACTGGGAGTGTCTGAGACCATATGGGTGTTGACTGGGACCACACTGGGAGCCACTGGGAATGTGCTGGAAGATGGAGATGCACCCTGTGCCTCATGGCACTGCCCAGAACAGCACCTGTGATGTCACAGCCCCCTCTATGATGTCACAAAGTAACACTTGGATGTCACAAGCGACGACTGAGGCACAGACTCCATACTGGTATGCGAAGACGTTTATTGCGCTGTAGTAAATTCCTTATATATCGTAAATTAGCCTGGAAGT